CCGGTATTTGTGACTAGCAAAGGAATGTCTTCATTGGGCGTCGATCAATGCACATATTTGTTCAGATAAAAGTTCAGTGGAGAAGTGTTTCTTGTGAAGCTGATAGTGGTTCAGTTAGTCAAGAAATTTATCTCCTTATGAGAAATTATAAGTTAATTAATTTGGTCACAGATTCCGAAATTGCATTGCATTACATATTTTAGGCGGGGTTATTACATTGCAACCCTTCAACCGGAATATACCGTATTTACGCATGTATAGGCCGCACATTTTTTGCCAAAAATTCAAGAGGAAAACTGGGGTGCGGCTTATATTCGAAATCACACTTTATTTAAAAAAAATTATATTCATAATTAGTAATACAGAGTGTAATACTACTGAAATAATATTCCAAGAAAATTATTTTTTCTATAATTTCTGTCTGAAAATTGTGCTGCGGCCTATACATGCGTAAATACGGTAAGTGTTCTTTCTGTTAAAGGGTTAGGTTATGGTACAGAAACAAACTGAGCACATTTTATTGCCTGTTCTTCATGCTGTGTAACTCATTTGTTATGGGTGGAGCTAGGATCATAATAGACCGCGCCATAGCTCAAGCGGTTAGTCGCTGGCTTCTCATCGCGGTGGCCCGGGTTCGATCCCGGGTCTGGTCAAGTGGAATTTGTGGTGGACAAAGTGGCACTGGGGCAGGTTTTCTCCGAGTACTTCGGTTTCCCCTGCCAATCTTCTTTCAACCAACTGCTCCACAATCACCCTCACCTATCATCTGGGGCTGGTAAAATAGGCCAGAAATGGCCGCAGTACAAGGGACTTAGTCCCACCCCACTAGCAATAAAAAAAAAAAGGAAGCACAACTCAAAGAGTAGTGAAACCACATGACAACCTCTGCTGTGTGCTCACCTGCGTGGCAGTGGATGGCCACTTTTCCTTCTGTGAGAGCGAACGACATTACCTTTACCATGTCGAGTAGGCTTGTAAGGGTTGCTTCACCATAATCCTTCCAGCCAAAGTTGTAGAAGTATACTGCAATGAAACAATGTCATTATTACAGAACAATAACATTGTAGCGTGGACAGCCGTTGCCATGTAATGACCGCGAAATAGGCGAATAAACAACGGTGTTATGCATCCCGTTTCTAGGCAACGGATCGGTAAACACGTACCCGCGGTAACGAATAGGCACTCAACAATGAAGTTATTGTTGGGAACGGTCTTTTCTACTCGTTCCGTGCAAAAGAGTTATAAAGAAGACAATTGCGGCAACTTGACGCACCTCCACCGTGACCCTGAGAGTCGTAGGAGGCCACGAAATGGGAAGTCTCAAATCTGAGACAGTAAAATATGGTCTCGAGTCCCAAGAGACTCAGACCTGAGAAAGACTGCACTGGCAAGGGCCAGCAGCATATATGAAAGGCAGAGCCGTGCTCTCGTCAGAGAGGGCGCCCCACAAAAACAAGACCGTAAATGTCAAACAGTAATAAATATCTGGTCATGAGCTCCAGATAGGGCTCGACACCAAGACTTGCTGACTGACTGACCGTTAGTCGCAATGTGGCATGGAACTTGACGAGAGAGAGAGAGTTACCCGTGTGGAGGTGGGGTAAAATACCTC